CACTCTGGTTCCTTCTTTGTTGTGTGGGCGGCAATACCACCTAGACTTAGTCAACACCGCCTGCCTGTGACTTTAATACATTCCTCATCTTCCCGCAGAGTGGATTTACGAGGTGGCTCTGTATGAAGGGGTTCAGCTCGAGGTCGGCGGAGGGTTTCAGCTATCAGCTACTGACGCAGTGCATGTTTGCAACTTCAAGCCACGCTACCCTGTGTGCTCATTTTTGCTCCACTGCTCATTCTCTCTACACTACAGAGACCCATCTCACCCATTTCTATCATTACTCAGCCGTGTGCATGGTTTATTTAGCTGCACTGTTACTCATAAGGAAAGCTGAAATCTCCAAGTTTTAATTTAATTTCAGTATTAGTTTTTCTTGCTGGCCTCTTGCTTTCCGATCAGACACACAACAAGCACACCGTTTGTAATCCTTCTGTAATTTTCCAAGACTCCTCTTTGAAGTGCAAACCTGGATAAAGAAGAAGGCAAGTCCCATTCTAAATCCAGAAACACTGTCAGCACACACCTCTCCAGCTTGGAGCTCTGATTAGGCTACTCCTGATTCTTCTTCCTCCCGGTTGGAAGAGACAAAATCATGGCTCTGTGCTGTAGGTTTTGGGATTGGAACAAAGGAAGACGAGGAGAGAAAAAACGGTTAGCACTGGGAGCAGAAACAGCATGAGACGAGCCACGCCGAGGGGAGAAAGAGAAGTAGTGCCTTGGCTGAGGAGTTAAGGCCAGCTTCCCTGTGGGGCCTGAGCGCTCGCCTTGGACTAACAGACTGTATTTTAAACCTAAATGGCCAGCAAAACGCCAGACGGGGCTCACCACACTTCCGTCCAGACAGACAAGGTCAACAGCAGAGCTACACAGATAAGCAGTGTGTGTTTTTAAAGTCCGGATTGGCAGCGTCATCCTTCCAGCTTTGCTGAGTAGATGTGACTCCTTCTTAGCACTAAGCGTCTGTCATAAACCAACAGAATATTTAGCAACACCCGGTTTGAGAGACTTTTTTATTTTTCCTCCCTGTAAACTGTTGCTTGTTGCTTCCCCAGCTGTAGATGTTAGACAAGTCCTGTCCCAGCTTGTTTTCCATGAAGAAATGAGGTTTAGTTGAGGACAGAAAATGTTAAAAATTTCACGCCGCACCCTGCTCGGGGCTTTATTAGGCTGCTCACATAAAACACATCGGTGGAAAGCTACTAATTTTCTTTTTACTGAAAAGTAGTTGTGGATGCAGGAAGGAATGCCACTGGTTCCTTATAAATATAGCATTACTAAAACACTGCTCTGTGTCCACCATGTTTCTGTGCGCGCGTGCGTGCGAGTGTGTGTGTGCGTGCGTGTGCGCGCGCGCATGCATGCTTGATGAACCAGTGTTTTTTGCGAGACAGCCAAGGCAATAATCTTGGGAGCTACTCATGTTTACTCGGCTCCTGAATAGAGGTTGTTATCAGCCCCGGTCACGTTGCATGTTTCTCATTCACATGCACTCAGATACGAGTTCTCATAGACACACATGCACCCGCAAACAAGGAAGCTCTTTCGAACCCTCTTGCACACACACACGTGCCCACGCCCTCCCCCGAGTGGTCCGGTAGAAGGGCATGCCTTTGTCAGCAGATGTCAGGACGCAGGTGTGTGTTCCTGTGCCTCTCGCTCCACTCGTTTCATCCACATCTCCAGAGGCGGCCCATTTGTCTGTGGCCCTGTTTCATTTCATCCCTCCTTCACCACCCCCACCCTAAGAGGACGCCACTGTGTCTGTTGTGATACAAAGAGGGAAGTGAAAAGCAGTTGATGCTACAGCAGTGCACCAGCACAACCTTAAATCTGAGATTGGGCGAACTCGAGAAGCCACAATTGGGTCTTTAATGACAAAAAAGTGTTTTTTGCCCTTGCCTCCATTTCCTTAAAAGAAAGAGAAAAAAGTCTATTAAAAACCGTGTTTTACACGTTCGAGTCTTTGCTAAGCAAAAGATGAAATGTTCCCTCTGACAGGAACAAGAAGTGATAAGACCTTTAAAGCAGTAAAAGTTGCTGGGATGTGTCATTGGCAGTTTAGCACCCTCAGCAACTTTCAATAGCTTCCTATCATCAGGAGACTGGTAAAATTCACTAGCTGTGCTTTCACCACGCTCACATAGCGTAGCTCTCACGTCCACTCACAGGTAGTGCTACAGATGTAATATAGGGCTGTGCTTTTTAGTATCACCCCCGTCTTCTCTCCCCCGCCACATCCAAACGCCTCATTGCGGACGTTAATGACTTCCGCAGAGCAACCATTTAAAGAGTGCTAAGGGAAAATGATTGGAGTATTTATCAACCGATGCAACAGTAGAGCTTAAATCCAAAGCTCAGGTGTGCTCTTCCGTGGGCCGTTTGCTGTTCTCTCCTACTGGTTTGGGGCACACCAAACTTAAATGTAGGGAGCTCATTAAAGCGGCCTCAAGGTAAGGGTTAAGACACCGATAAGGACGCCGTGCAACGAACCTGTCAGCACGATGAATGAGCGACGTGTATGTTGAGAACCACAGACGAGGGCCAGACAGACATGAAGGCCTTCTCATAACAGCTGTTGACAGTGTCTGAAAGTAGCCTCGGGGCATTCATCCTGCTGCTCCCTCCACCCCATCTGCCGTCACTCTATCTTTGCTCCAATTCAGGCCGGCAATCTGACAACAAAGAGGGAGAGATGTGTTTAGCAGGCAGGTCTTTGTCGGTTTATTTCTCCTGTCCACTGGAGCAGAGAAGTGAAAGACATTCTGTTTGTCTCTTCTGTTGGCCATCTCTGTGGCTTCCCCCCTCCAACGACCACCTTCCACTCATCTGTCCACCTCTGGGGATGAGAAAGGGAGGCGGGTGTTTTCTAAAACATCGTTCGACGGGCCAAGTTAGCTCAACATCGATTAACTGCAGCAAAAATCAACTTTGAATTTGGGTCAGAAGTAGGGACGTACCATCAACCGATCCAGCGTCCGCTTAATCCTTCCACATACCAACTTCAAAAATTAGAGAGCCATTTTAGATATTTAGCCTATTAAGTCTTTAATCCTAAAATCTCTTGGATAGAAGCATCTCAGTAGTCTGGGCTTTTCTCGGCTGTTCGGTAGTCAGCTCATCATTATCCTTTTTTAGTTTTTTTAAACATTCCTACTTCCTCAAAATTCCCTCCTTGCAAAGTTTCCTGTATCAGAAGAATGTAGAGGACGGATAATAAGATGGTTTTGAGACGTTGGGTGAGTCACTGCCAAGTTTAAGAATGACAGGCGCAGACGGATCGGCTACAGGAAGCAAGTACTGCTTCATGGGCAGACTTTTGTCTTGCTCACAATTGATTGGCCATTTGCAGCTCACCATCGTCTTCCCCTCCTTTTCCTTAAAACCAGCTAAAGGCTTTACCCTCCTTAAACAAACACTGACTCACCATCAAAGCCTTTTTCTGTCCGTCTTGATTTGATGATGTGCGTCATTGCCACATGTTGATTTTTCAAGTGGCCTTTCTTTTCTAAATATCACAGCATTCACCTTAAATTCCCTTGAGGTAAATTTCCTTGGGTTAGTCAGAGGAACATGACTGAACCTGCAAATTCCTGCAGTCACCTGTTCATGGAGCAGCAGGTTCTTTTAACCCCTACTTTGTCTTAGATTTATCGTTGATACGATGGGGGTCCAGCTGTTATCCTGGAGATCCGGCGCCTACGTGGCCGGTGAGGAATGTCGGAGAGGGTGGTTAACATGTGCGTCTGTAAATAATTTGTATTCTATTAAAGTTTGAAGAAGTTGGGGCAGCCATGAATATTTAACCTCCAGACTCTCAACAGAAATTGGAAGCTGGTAAAATATTGAATTACCAAGAGGGCAAAGTGAGGATGCTACCGTCATAATAGTTCACACCTTACCTGCAGTGTCGTCGTGTTTTCTTTAGCAATGCTCCTAATGAGGCTCCGGCTCTCAGCGAGGTAGTGCAGCCGAGGCCGCTGGGAAACATGAGCGCTGCCGGTTGTGTGTCTGCGTCTCCGTGTCGGCCGCCTGCCAAAAATGGCAGCCCTGAAGAAATATCTTACACAGAATAGTGGGTTGTCATTAAGCTAGCATATGGGAGGTGTTTATTATAACAGATAGCAGCTTTTGGTAGAGGGTTTGTTCTTTATGATGGGAGATTATCATCTGCATTTGCAGGAAAGTTTTCTGTAATTTTCCACTGATGAATTTTTTAAATTTTTTTCAGTCTTTGTAGCACTTGTGACAGTAAAAAATGTTTACCTGTTTGGATGCTTTTGTTTGCTTTTGAGTTACTGCAAAACACAATCAGTGTGATCGTATTTGTGTTCATCTTCAATACGAGATTTAAGTTTGTATTTCCACATTTCTCCCGTGGCTGATCTCGGCGCTATTAATCAGTTTGAACCTATAATATAATGGGTTTATAATATAATCTATAATATAACCTGTGATTTCCCGTCAGTCTTCCCAAACGGCATTAACCCGTTTAGCCAGCACCACAAAGCAATCAGAGCGCCTCACCGTTAGATCGCAACACAAAAGGCTTTCCTGCTAACTGCTTCTGCCACAAATCACCTCCTATCGGTTCTCCAAAACCACCGAGTAAAGCAGCGAACATCAGCTCATAGCTGTAGGGCTTTAAGCACAAACTAGCTCTTTGCTTTGATTGAATTTATTCCCTTCTACCCAGTGCTGGCTCTGTTTCACGTGATTCTCTGGCATATTTTCAGCTATTGTGCTTAGAATTGTATATCAAAAGTTACCTAAGGCTGCACCCAGTATCTTTCGGGTTTTGTGTCTGGGATTCGTTTTTCCTTTCATCTCTCTTTCTCTGTTCAGAAACTGATTTAAGTGCAAATTAAAGAAATGGTTTTGTGACTGAAGATGCTCTCTATTGATCTAGCCTTTGCTTTCTACAGCCACTGGGGTATTTATTTTATCAGCCAACTTTGTTCTAATGTCTGACTCTTTCTAACCACGTTTTTCTTTCCCAGAGCTTTCCATCAGACGAAGGATGGCCATTTGCCAAGTACCTGGGAGCTTGTGGGCGCATGGTAGCAGTAAACTACGTGGGTGAGGAGCTGTGGAGCTACTACAATGCACCGTGGGAGAAGAGAGTGGACCTGGCGCGGCAGCTGATGGACATAGCCGAGCAGCTCACCAACAATGACTTTGACTTTGCCCTGTACCTGCTGGATGTCAGCTTTGATAACTTTGCAGTCGGCCCTCGCGACGGAAAAGTCATCATTGTTGACGCGGAAAATGTTCTGGTGGCAGACAAAAGGCTGATAAAGCAGAGTGAGTGCCAGCATCTATCAATTCCTTATCACAAATGCACTTTATGTTCATGTCAGTGTGAAGCAGTTTCAATAAGACTGCCTTGTTTTTCCTGAAATTTGTGTCGCATCCTTAAACGTTTCTCATAATATAGGAACTGCTTCTCAGAGTTATGAGTCTGGGTCATCAGTTTATCACTAAACCCATTTAAAGGGAATTTCTAGTCTTATTTACAGACAGAAATGTTTCCAAAACTAAGACATATTCACCTACGTTTTCCAGTAGATGGAGGTTCCTAAAGGTTGTTTTGTTTTTTTTACCTCAACAAGAACTTTTCTTAAGCTTGATTGGCAGCAACTGGTCGTTTCCCTTTGCACTATTTCTGACTGACCAGTAATCAAAAAGATGGGAAAGTTCAAGAGAGTTGTAGATTCGTCCAAGTCGGGAAAGTCTTTTAGAGACATTTCTAAATAGGCTGAGGGGCATGGAGTGGTGTCTGCAATGGTACGCCGTCTTTTTAAATTGGACGCAACTTGTTTTTGATCCTCGTTGAAGCCGCTCTCAAGTTTTTTTTTGGGAGCTGCCCCAAAAGGTTGCTGTCCCTCAGAGTCCCCATGAACAGTCTGGCAATCTGTGCTTCAACTCAAACGGCCAGATGCTCCTGGATCTCCGCATCCCTCCAGTTTGCCATCTCAGCTGATACGGTTTACAAATGCAAAATGGACTCCCCGTGTTCACGTGTTTTAAATATTATTGCCAGCCGGGGCTTGGCGGACATTAAACAACGGACGAAT